TTGAACAGATCAACAGATCGGTTGTGATAGGCTTGGTGGAACAAATGCTGTGGAATGACTTTGCCTTGCGCGCGCACGAGCGCGCGCATGTGGCCCGAATGGTGCTATTTCAAATCAACTCTCAAGGCAAATCAGGTAATACCCGCGACGACAAAAAAACATAGCCACACCAGAAAATGCCGTGGCCAGATGGGGCGTCGCACCGAATCTCATGTGTAGGATGGACGTCGGGTCCAGAAAGCCTTTTGAGACTTTCAGGGGACAGATGCCGGGGTGAATCGGGAGCCGTGCCGAATTGCTGTATTCCACAGCTCGCAGGGGCATGCGATGCACAAGTCATGCGAAGAAATACTACACATCATGACATGATCTGGTTTGGCACGACACATGGGGGAGAATAATTAGATATAATAACGCGTTCCGGTTGCAGCACGCTCTGAAATATCATGCTGCATCGAAACTGTAGCAGGTCTCTCCAGTGATCCCCACACGCCCGGCCGTCGTCGCCGCCATCGGCGTCGTGACGTCCTGGCCGCCGCATCGGGGCCTGGACATTCCCCGCCCCTCGCCCCCCCCCGACGGGCCCTCGGAACGGCCGCAGGCCGCCTCTGGCGCAGACGCGTCGGGACCCCAGTCGGCGGCGAGCGAGGGCAGGAAGCGAGAACGAGACGGCCCTGCAGAAGGCGGCGGGACTTCTCAGACGCCCTCGCGCCCTCCGCAGCGTTCGGTGTGTCTCCGAGGACGGCCGCGAACACTTCCGCGCAGTGGAAGCCGAGGCCTTCCGAGCCTGCTGAGCAGGCCTGCCCCTCCGCCCACGGGCGATGCGTCGACGCCCCAGCCCCGGCCGCGTGGAGCTTTCGAAGGGACCGAGACTCTGGGGCCCGACCCTGGGGTACACGAAGGGGGGGGGCGCCCCTCCTCGGTGTGGGGGTGCGTCCGAAGAGCGCCCTCGGGTTGCATCCCAGGGATTCCCCCTTCTGAGCGGCCAGGTTTCAGTCGGGCGGAGCTCGGGGACGGAGGGAGGAGGGAGGAGGAGGAGGAGGAGGAGCAGCAGGAGCAGGAGGAGGAGGAGGAGGAGGAGGGTTCCCCCTCCCCCCCCCCCTGGCTCGCCGCCGACCGAGGGCGGCCCCCCCTCCCGCGCACCTCGCGCCCCCCACCCTGTTGAGCAGGGCATCGGCCACGGACTTGTGATCTGCCCCCCAGACGGATCTCCTCGCCGAGCCTGCCAGACCGACGAGGCCACCCGGCGTGGCCTCGGCGACAAGGAGACACAGTCCTGGGGCACGTCCGCTCTGCAGCCGAGCCCCCGCTCGAGCCCTGCGCCCACTGGCCCCAAGCGACGCGCCGCCGCCGCCGCCCGCGCGCCCGCCTCCGACGCTCGCCGGGCGCCCAGCCTATAGGGGGGCCCCGCGCGCCCCGCGGGCAGTCCCGGTGCGCGCCGTGGGGCCCCTTGGCGCCCCTGCGCGCTCCTGTGGGGCGCCCGCGCGCGCACCCCACAGGAGGCCGGGGGGCCGGGTATGAAAATACAGGGCAGCTGGTTTTTTTTTGTAAAGAACATTGGATTTTTGAAGTGCAATAGTTGTGAGACATGATTAACGTATGAATAAATGCATGCGTGAACTCATCGTTGTTTTTGATACGAACCCCCTGCATGTTTTACACATGATCCGCACGCGGAGCATGTATTAGAAACGGCACTGTAAGAGGAAGCTGGGGCGAGGATCACCTCTGGTAAGGATACGTCCAGAATCTCAGGGATCCGGCGGATCTGGAGGATGTCTCGGGCGCCGCGGCCTTCTCAGAGCGTCCCCGAACGCTCTGGAGCGGATTGATCCTCGTCCTAGCCCTACAGGAGGTCGGGGCCTGGTATCAACGTAATAGGAAGCTAGGACGAGGCTACAATCTGGTATGGGCCGCAGAGAGACATACTAATCTATATATATATATATGTATACATATATATAATTATCTCCTTGGGGAGGCGCGCGTCCGACCCGAACACATGGTATACCCTTCTTGTAGTAGATCGTTTCCCGAGCGGTGTGGCCCGAAAGCGCCCGCCACGACGCATATGCTATAAGATTTCTCGGTGCGCGCGTCGCCCCTGGGGGGGGGGGGGGCGACGCACACTCAGTATTATTATGTTGGGGTGGCGCCGACGGTAAAGATAATGATACCAGGGAAGAGCCCAAAACATAATCATTTTAGGGCTATAGGGCTATGGGCCTATAGGGCCATAGGACCACAGGGCTATACTATAGATATACAGGGCTGGAGGCCTATAGGGCTATAGGCATCTATAGAGCTATAGGGCTATAGTGCTATAGGGCGATTGGCCTAAAGGGCTATAGGGCCATTTAGCTATAGGGCTATGGGGCTATAGGGCTATATGGCCACAGGGCTATTAGGGCTGTAGGGCTATATGGCTATAGGGCTATAGGGCTATAGGGCTACAGGGCTGTAGAGCTACAGGGCTATAGGTCTATAGGGCTATAGTGCTATAAGGCGATAGAGCACCTGGGCACCTCCGTGCACCCATGGGCACCATCGGGCACCCCCGGCACTCGGGCACCCGGGCACCCCCGGGCACCCGGGCACACGGGCACCTGGGCATCCGGGCCGGCCACCGAAATCGACGACGAACCTCACCTAATCATATGAATCCGCTATAGGACCCCTACAGAGGCAAGCTCTGATTGGCCGGCGGATCTGGAGGATGTCTCTTGGTGGTCTCCTAACCAGGTGGTGAGACACCCGGTGGTGACCCCGATTCCCCCAAAAAACAATTCTGGGTCACCACCGGGTTTGGGGACACGCGGTCGCCACGAGGTTTTGCGTTTCCTGGGCCAGCCAGCGCTCGAAAACCATTAACCAAATCGTCCACAACTCACCACCGGGTGTTCTCACCACCACGTTTGGGGACCACCAAGTCTCGGGCGCCACGGCCTTCTCAGAGGGTTCCGGAACGCTCATGGAGCGGACTGATCCTCGTCCTATAGGCCCCGTCCGAAAGAGGGGGCTCAGCGAAACGGGAGCTCAGGCTCTTTTCCCTGTGCCCCCGTCGCCTGTGCCCCCCCGCCTGCGGCGCACCCCGCGGCCCCCCGTAAACGGGGGCGTGGCCAAACGTAGAGGTCGGCGTTCCCTGTGGGCCCCCGCTTCCTGTGCCCCCGTCCCCAGAGATCGAACGCATTGAAGAAGTCACGACGGTTTTTTTCGCGATGTTCGGCCTCTGGGGGCCCTTACCTGACTACCTACCAGACCACCCCAACCCAACCCGAAGACCCGAATTTGACCCGAATTTCGGGTCGGGGGGGGTACGGGTCCCATGTGTTTTTTCAACGTTCCACGACCCCCCCCCACTGGAAATGGAGGGCAAATTGAGGCCTTCGGGTTGGGTTGGGGTGGTGTGGTGGGTGGTGATTACCGGGCCTCGGGACCGTCAAAAAACGACTCAGGATGCAAAACCGGTCCTGGGGAAGGTGTCGAGACTTCCGGGGACCCCGCATTAGAAAAAATCACGACGTCGGATCTCCGGGTCCCTGGCGCCCCGAGGATGCTCTGCGCAGCTCGCGCCGGAAGACGTTGCCACCCGCGTGTGGCATCGCGCAGCGCCGCGCAATCTTCCCCGTGCAGATTTCACGACCGTGCGTGGCACCTCATCGACTTAGACCGCGTAGATTGCAGCGCAGAGGTTCCACCACATGCCTTTTTCATCCCACAGGTTGCACATCACTGCCTTGGGGCCCATGCGCTGCCGGCACGTTCCGAACCAACGAGTCAGTCTCAAGCAAAAGCGGCCTGTGAAAGGTAACAGGTGACACGTTCACGTTCTAACCTGATGACCACCCAGCGTGAAGCAGTATCAGCTCAGACCCGCATTGACAAAACAAGCTGCACCGCCCAGCAGCGTCGTTGGAGACATGTCTTATCATGCCTGGGGCATGTGCGTGGCTCTGGGGCAAGAAGCCTTTGAGCACGGCCCGCCCTCCTCTCGCGTAATTGCCCAAAGCTTGCAAGGCGAATGGGTTCGGCGCTGAAGCGGCATCCTCACGTCGGACACAAGCCGAACGTGCGCGGCGCGAAAGCGAGAACCACATCTCGAACAACTCCTGAAGACATCGAACCTTCGGCAGATCGGAAACCGAGGAAGTCTCACGCAAAACGCCTGAACCACTCTGCGGTCGCGCCTGGAGGTACGGCGACTGCGGGGGAGGACGACGGCGAGGAAGAGAGGAGAGACGGGGGAGGAAGCAGCAGGAGGGGGAAGGGAATGAGGAGAACAACGAGGAGGGGGAGGAAGGGGAGGGGAGGGAAGCTGCGCTCGTCGCCCTCCTCATTGTCTGCCTCCTCCTTGCCTTCTCCCCTCCTGTTGCAGAACAGATGCGCATGAGCATACCCCCCTTCGATGCTGCAATCGCCGTCGTCGCCTCGGCTGCCCCTACCGTCGCCATCAAAGATGACGCTCCGGTGATACGAGGACAATGACAGGAAGATAAAAAGGGAAATCGTGAAAAGCATAGCGACAACATAGAATCGAGGGCGTCCAACAGTGGGGCGTCCAAGAAGGGCGGCTCGTCAATTGTGGCCCGAGGCATGAGCGCGGACGAGGGGGGGGCAAGGAGCGTGTTGAAAACAAAGAGGGGGCCATGAAATCCGGGAAGATACCATGGCCATAGCCGTGATATACGCCCCACCATTCATCGCCCCCTCGTCGACGCCTAGTGGTTTCGAAGTCATAAGTCGGGCCCCAGCGCCATTCGGGACGATCTGGGCACCCCTGGATTCCAAGGCTGCTGGGAAACATCCCGAGGTTGTAACACGTATGGGAACAAACGGAAACAGTTGAGAATCTCGAACTGATCACCCTCTCCCCCATCCCATCTTGGACGCTCCCGAGAAGAGGACGCAGAAGAGGAAGAAAAGAAGGAGCGGGAGGAGCCGTTCTGCCGTCCACTGGTGCGCGGGGCTGGAGACCAGGAAGCGCGAGACGGTGCCGCGGCCTCTGGAGAGTAGGTGCACGTCAACGGCTCGCCGCCAAGGGTTCCAGTGCCGTCCGCGTTGTCCACGATGGCGGCCGCGTCTGACTGATGAGGCAGGGCGTGGGGACAAATAATGTTGCAAAGCGGGAGAACAAGACAGAGAGCGAGAGAGAAACAGAGCGAGAGTGAGAGAGAGAGAGAGAGCGAGGAAAGTGGGAGAAGTGAATATATATATATATATATATATAGAGAGAGAGAGAGAGAGTGAGAGAGAGAGACAAACACATTGGCAAGAAAAATGTCAAGTTATAGAGCGAGGGAGAAATAGAGAGAGAGAGAGAGAGTGGGATAGCGTGAGCGAGCGAGCGGGAGGGACATGGACATAACGAAACAAAAGGCTCATGCAACCCCCCTGCCGTGCCCATGTTGTTCGGTGCCATGTTGATTAGAATTCCCTTCTGCATTGCTCGGATCATCCTGAAACGCATTCTCGTTTTCTCTCATTCATCCTCCTCCGTCTTACCACAGACCCACATCAACCTCCTCCTCCTGGGAACTAGTCATCCTCCAAATGCGCATCGACCGTCTCCGATTATCATCAGCATCCATCCGAATATGCGTAATATTCCCCCTGTTCTCCAGGCTCTTCCGCCGACTTCTGTTCCGTGTCCCGACCCCCGATTCCTTCCCCTGTCCCTGCTCCCCTGCTTCCCCCCTTGCCGCGCCTCCTCTTCCTGTGTTTTCTCCTCCTCCTTATCCTCCTCCTCCTCCTCTCCTTTATGGCCCTCCTTCAGCTTCCCAATGTCCTCTTGATATGTATCCCTCCGCACCCTCCTCCTCCTCCTCCTCCTCCTCCTCCTCTTCCTCCTCCTCCATTATCCTCATCATCCGCCGCCTCCTCATCTTCCTCCTCCTCCTCCTCCTCCGCCTCTTCCTCCTCCTCCTCCTCCTCCTCCTCCGCCTCCGTGTTTTTCTCCGGCTCCTCTTCCTCTTCTCTCCTGCTCCTCCTGCTCCTCCTCCTCCTCCTCCTCCTCTTCCTCCTCCTCCTCCATCTCCTCCTCTTCCTCCCTCCTTGCTTCTCCTGTTTCTCCTGCTCCTCTTCCTCCTCCTACTTCTCTCCGTCATGGCCCTCCTTCAACTTCCAAGTGTCCTCTTCATACGTATCCCTCCGCACCCTTCTCCTCCTCTCCCTCCTCCTCCTTCTCCTCCTCCGTGCTTTTCTCTGGCTCCTCTTCCTCCTCTCTCCTCATCATCCGCCGCCTCCTCCTCTTCCTCCTATTCCTCCCTCGTCCTCCTTGTACTCCTCCTCCTCCTCCTCACCATCTCATTCTTACTAGTATTGCTATTCTTATTCACCGTATTAGTAGTCCTATTCTTGTTATCAGCATATGTATGATTGATACTCTTATTAGCATTCGCATTATTATTGTTATTCGTGTGAGTATCCTCATTATTATGCGTATTACAAATCTCCCGCGTATTATGATTATTAGTAGCCTTATGTTTACTCGTACTATTAGTCGTCTCCTTAGTCTTTATATTATGTATATCCGCTGTGTTGTTATTATTCATCTGATTGTTCTGCCTCCTCCTCCTCTCATCATCCTCCCTCCTCCTACTACTCATCCTCCCCCTCCTCTTCCTCCTCCTCCTCATCCTCCTCCTCCTCATCCTCCTCTCCTTCATGGCCCTCCTTCAACTTCCCAATGTCCTCTTCATATGTATCCCTCTGCACCCTTGTCCTCCTCCTGCCCCTGCTCCTTCTCCTCCTCCGTGTTTTTCTCTGACTCCTCTTCCTCCTTTCGCCTCCTCCTCCTCCTCCGCTTCGCCCCCGTCCTCCTCCTTCTCCTCCTCCTCCTCTTCTCCTTCTTCTTCTTATTCTTCTTCGTGTTCCTCCTCCTCCTCCTCCTCCTCCTCTTCCTCCTCCTCCTCCTCCCTCCTCCTCCTCCTCCTCCCCTCCTCCTCTTCCTCCTCCTCTGTTTCTTCCTCCTCCTCCTCTTCTTTTTCTTATTACTTTTATTTTTATAATTATTTCTCCTCCTCCTCCTCCTCTTCTCCTCCTCCCCTCCTCCTCTCCTCCTCCTCCTCTTCTCTTCCTCCTCCTCCTCCTCCTCGTCCTCCTCCTCCTCCTCATCCTCCTCCTCCTCTCCTCCTCCTCCTCCTCCTCCTCCTCCTCCTCCTCCTCCTCCTCCTCCTCCTCCTCCTCCTCCTCCTCCTCCCCCCTCCCCCCCTCATCCTCCTCATCTTGCGTGCCCTTTTCCCCGCAGTTTCCCTCGAGCAATCACCACCCGCCCCCCCCGAAGACAATCTGGAAAGCAGCGCGGGGCACCGTCACAACACAATGCTTTCTCCAGGCAGCGATCACCCCCGAAAACATCCCCGAAGCTTCCCAAGGGCCATTGTCGGAGCTCCTTCGGGACAGTTTCGGCGCCTCACGGGGGCCAGTTTGGCGCAATCCGTTGGCCGGCGCCGGCGCCAGCGCCGCCGAACCCGTCGTCGGAGGAAGGTGGTGGATCTGGACGGGGAGAGGAGTCGGAAAGGGGGGCTGGACAGAGTGAGGATGGAGGGGGGATGACCCGGGCGGATGGCGAAGACTCGAAAGAGGATCTGGACGGATATGTAGTGAGGCAATCACCCTTAGTGAATTTGGGTGGCATGACTTGACTGGCCGAAAGACACAAGCAGGCTGGGGCGGAGATGGCCGTCTTCGAGAATCGTTCACGGAGGGGCCGGACGAACGCGGAGCGCGTTGGCCGCCCCCTCTTCTTTTTTTTTTTGTGTTTTTCTCTCTCCCTCTCTCTCTCTCTCTTTCATTGTTGTTTCCTTGTTGTTTCTCTCTCTCTCTCTGTGTCTCTCTCTCTCTCTCTCGCTCTCTTTTTCTTTTTGTGTTGTCTTTTATTTTCTCCTTTTTTTTTCTCTCTCTCTCTTTCTCTCTCTCTCTCTCTCTCTCTTTCTCTCCCCCCTGTCGAACACGGACTGGGCCACAGCCCCACGCTGGAACCTGCCTCTGGACGCTTTTCCTCTGTATTGCTCAGAGCTCTTGACCAAGACGCTGGCCTGGATTCGTCTCGGACACTCCTGTCGGTGAGGAGCAATAATGCGGGATGGCGATTAATAATAAAAATTGGAAAGAACGATTAAAGCATAGTTTTCTGCTATTTCTGCACAGTTGTCTGACTGGAGGCATACGATTTAAAACATAGTTTTCCAGCCCGCGGCCGTTTTTTTCTAATCGCCATCCCGGGCGCCGCCCCGTCAACGCGACCCCCGGTCATTTATTAATCGTCATCCTCCATTAGAACATACCTCCTGTAGCTCGGACGGAACAGCGGCCACACAACTGCCACACAAAAAACGAGCCAACGCTAAGACCCGAATGGCGCTGCAAACCGCGACTGGGATGGGTCCCGCCCGCCAGATATAGACGAGCCCCCTCGGGAAGAGAAAAACAAATGCCCCAAAAAGCCACAATGCGAAACACAGACGAAGACGCCAGGGAAAGACTCCGTTGAAAGTGGCTGACCCCCTACTACGCGCGCAACCCCCACCATTCTCAGAAAGACGATGGCCAGTGCTGAGAACTGAAGCTTGTTGGGGCCTGGGAGGCTGGGAAGGGGTCTCATGCCGCTCACAACGCCGGCAGGCGAAGCCGAGCTCCCTCTCTTTTTTCCAACGCGTCGGGCGTATCTCTCAATGTGCGATGTCTGACCAAACAGGCCATCCTTCAAGATGGAATATGAGTGCGCGCGCGATTGGATCAACTCTCGAGCAACTTCGGCGACTGCGTCAGCAGCTTGACGAACCAGCAGCAGCAACTCCAGATGAAGCACCTCGAACACTGACTGGCTCCCCGCAGAGGTGGGAGCTTCCGAAGAGCACGAGAATGTTTTGTTTAACCCTGCTTTGAACCTTTTGGACGATTAAAGCCCAGAAGTCAGATTTCGGAGAATGTCGGGCGACGAAATTTGCCCTGACACCAGCAGCCCGCGACTCCCCACCCCAATGTCTGACATGACAGCCATGGACCCGTCGCTGAACTGGGTGGCGATCCAGAGCGCGCGAGTTTGCCTTTTTTGCCACAACTTGGAGGCCCCTGGGAATGACACCCTTCGAGCGTAGCTCCCGCGGCAAACTCCGACGGCTCACCTGCGGGCGTCTGCGCGAGCGCCAGGCCTGCCCCACTTTCACCGCCAAAGGGCTCGCCGGCGACCCCCGTCCTGCAACGCCCTCGAAAATTGCGAAAGCCCCCGCGGGCAATCCCAGTCACGGCCGAAAGCTGGCGGCGGCGCTGCTGTCCATTTCCTCGGCGGAAGGCCCCTGGACCAAGGACATTCGGCCGATCCCCGTTGGGCGTTGGCTTTAGGCGCTAGCTCGTCCGACTTTGAATGCGACATCCACGCTTGGCTGACGGGGCGCATCCTGGCCCCGTGGAAAGCGGTCCCAAGGGCCTCTCCGCGCCCGGGGCAAAGGGGCGGGCGGCGTCCCGGTCGTCGTTCGTGCGTTGCGAGCGGGGTCGCGGGCCCCCTGCAGCAAACGCGGCTATGAGCTCTGCCATCCTCCGCCTGCGGGGCGGGTCGCGAGGCTGCTTGGTGAGTTGGGTGCGCGACGCCGCGCCCGCCCGTTCCTCGACGGCGCCGGCGCAATAATGATTTGCGGCCATTGTCCACCACAGCTTGGCGCCATTGTCTTCGAAATGCTGGGCCAGCGCCACGGGCGCGCCTGCCCACTCGCGCTCCGAGGAAGCCTCGAGTGGAGAGCTCCACGCGATGATGTTGCCGTCTGGAACGGGCGGCCATTCCCGAGACTCACGCAAATTGGGCACCCAGCCCGTCTCGAGCAAACAACTCATGATTGCCCACATTTGGCCGCGAGAATGTTGCGGTCGATGCTGCGGCGCCACCACTGCGAGAAAAACGCCGGCCGCTCTAGGCACGCCCGTCTGATGGCCGGTCGCATTCTACCCCCCCCCCCCCGACGCCGCCCCCGCGGGCCCGCGTCCTGAACCCGACCTCAATGCATTCGGCGCCATGAATATTCCCGCATCTGCCCTTGGCCCCCACAGTGCCAGAAGCGCAATTGACCGCCTTTCTGACGATGGCGGTCCGCCAGTTCCAAAAGAATTTCCGATGCTCAATGCGGGATGTGACTTTCCGGCGTCTGCCGGCAGCTGCGTGCTCGGCTATCGTCGCACTCGTCGTTGCTGATTTTATGTAATCTTACTCCCCCGATGGCGCGAGCCAGCCTCTCGCCTCTTCCAAAGTCGGAGCCAAAATAAGCCGCGTGATTCTGTGACTCGACGACGAAGCCCGCTCACTTGAGCAATATGGAAATGTCCTTGGCATCGGACATGCGCGCGCAGAGTGCTGCTGTTCGGACTGCAATCTGCAACCCCAGATGTTTGAGACGCCGGCGAACATCAATGATGACATCTGCCAGCAACTGCCTCATCCTGCCCTTGGAACTCTCGATGATCTGACTACCTATCAGAACACCTAAACACAACCCGAAGACCGCAATTTCGGGTTGGGGGGCACGGGCTCCACATGCGCGCGTTCTATGTTCCCCGACACCCCCCACGCACACACGCGCACACACACGCGCACGCACACACTCCGGAAATGAACAGCAAATTGAAGCCTTCGAGTTGGGTTGGGGTGGTTTGGTGGGCGGTGATGATCTGAGTCGAATCGTCAATCAAATGCGGCGGGCAAAATATGGATGCGCGGCGGCGGTGGCTCGAAAGGCCCCGAGCGCGCCATCGGCCCGTAAAGGCGCGTGCCCGACCTGAGGCCTTGCGCGGAATGCTCTGCGTCGGACGCGTCGGCCCCGCGCGCGCGCCCCCTTGCCGCGACGCGCGAGGCGCCGCGCGCTGGCGGGGCTCGGCGCGCAACGCGGCCGGGGAGAAGCCGGCCTCGAGAGCTCCTGCCATCTGCACATTCCAGGAGGCCGCATCATAGAAGCCTGTTGCCCAATGGCACATGCCCAATCGATAGCGACGCTCGACGGGCCAATTCTTCATCCAACACTCGCAAGAACGACTCGCGGACTGCGGCGCCCCGGACGACGGCCGCGCCCCGCCCGGGGTGTTTCCGCCGCCCGCGCTGCAACATCTGCGTCGCGGCGCGTCGGCCAATCTCTTGCAAACCTTGCGAGAGTGCCACAAATTCGATATCCTGAGCTATTGTTCTTTTGCATTGCGTGACCAACGGCGATTCGCGCTTGCTGGCCAAACTATAACCCGTTCCGTCGTCTCACACGCCGCTGCGCAGCGCCCCGACCGCTTCGGGCTTGACCGCCCACTCCTTGACGCGACTGAGCGAAGACTGCGCCGCCCTGCTTTGGGCTCGCCAACAGACGTTGCGCGCCGGTAAGTCAATTGCGGCAATCCGTCTGTCCGAGCAGTCGCCGAATATACGTAGAGAAGGTGGAAGGCTCGCCAACCCTGGCCCCGATAGTTTGGTTTGGGGCCCCACCAGCATGGCTGAGCACCTCGCAAAGCAGCGCGACCAGGGCCCCCATCGAGGTCCACGATGTGCCTGGCGCCGCTGGTCCGAGACCTGCGACGCAATAAGGATGACAAGACTGCAGCCGAACGCGCGCGCCAATGTGCCGTCGCGTCCTGGAGCGGCCGCCGGCGATTGCGCTCAGCCTGGCCGAGTTCGCCGGCGCGGGACCTGCGGGCCAGCGCTCGACTGGGCCCAGCAGGGGCCTGACGCGAGCGGCGCGCGCAGACTGCTGCTTCGAACCGCGCGAATGCGCGCGGGGGCGCGCGCCTGGACAGATAACGCTCCGACGGTTGGCTCGTCATCTGGTTCGGGCGAGGTGGGGGCGCGAACCGCGCATTCCTGGGGGCACCCATGAAAGACAAGACCTTCCTCTGGCCAAACTTCCGAGTCACCGCCAAGCTCAAAGTCGGGGCTGCTCAGAAGATCTAGACTCGGATCGGAGGCGCCCTCGGAGGGCGCAGATCATGGAAAGGGCCCCAGGCGGCCCCCGCACGTGGGGTTATTCTTATTCAGCCCTGCGCCGCCTGGATAGCAACTGCTCGGCTCAAGCGACTGCCTTTGCCCAGGGCGCCCCGGGCCTGGGCGCGGGCTTCTTGCGGCATCTAGACAGGGCCCTGTCTGGCAGCGACAACAATCCGGCTACCAAGTGCAAGCCAGGCAGGTGAAACGGAGCTGCTGAACCTACACGGGGCTTCCAGGGCACATCTAGCACCGCCGAAAAGGTCACGCATGCGCGCCCTAGCAAGGCGACTGCGCACCAATAATCCAAGTGGGGCCCACTGCAGCCAGACGAGAGAGTGGCCCCAAAAAGGAGCTCGGACCATCTGGCCCCCCACGCGAGGAGAGAGCCGAGGCGCGGGAAGCGCGCGACGCTCGCTCCTGCCACGCGCGCTGACGGACGCGCATAGAAGCATAATGCAGAAACGGAGCGCCCCACGAAATACACCAGCGCTGGGACAAAGCCGCCCCGGCACGCGCGCCCTCGCGCGCGCGCAGACCTGCCGCCGTCGTTGGAGAGAAGGTGCTGCACCTGGAGGTGCCCCCGCGCGAGCAGCCATTCGCCGCTGCCGTTCGGGCGCTCTTCGCGAAAACTGGAACTCGCCAATCAAATGGCCGAGCACGACTACTGATGTGACGCTGATGATTGAGACAAGCTTGCTTGTCCCATTGTGTTCGTACCCCCAGCAAGATTCACGCTTGTTTCGACAAGGCCGAGAAACATCCTATTTCTCGTTCGTTCTGGATTCCATGAATCCCCGGTATCTGTCTCCCATGGATGTGACATTCGAAAAGAAGATTACGCGAATGTTCTGATCGCTATCTTCAGAGGCGGTGGGTTCACTGCGCGCGCCCTCGACTGCCTGCGGCAAGGGGTTCCCGGGCGCGTCGGCGGCGGCAGCTGGTTGCTCTAGTCAAGCCGCCGATCCCGCCCTCGCTGCCCCTGAGCGGGGCCCTTGCCCTTGCCCATGGCTGCAGCTGAAGCGGCGCCTGCTTCGCCGCTGCCTTCGGCGAGAGCCTGGGGCTCGAACTTGAGCATGGGCAACTTCCCCGGCGTGGTCTTGACCTGCTGCTTTTTGCGACCATCGCGCGGCGATGCTGGCGCAAGCTCGGAAACTGGTGCCGCGCCCGCTGCCGCTGAAAATGATGCTGATGATGCTCCAGTGGTAAGCGCCGCCTCCGCCGCCGTGGGGTGTGCCTCCATGGGCTTCCCCTTGACCACCGGTGTCCTTGCGGCGCATCTTTGACTAAATACGTTCCTCGTGGCCGTTCTTGAAGTCGGCTGCCTGCTGCAAATTGGCCTGCAGCTTCTCGTCATTGATCCTGACCTGCTCCCTGAAGTTGACGAGGTCATGGTGCAACTTCTTCAGATGATACTTCGGTGTCGTCTAGCTCCATCTCCTCGGCATGCTGGAAGACTGACTAATCCAACGAGGGTTGAGATTCGGCTCCACCGCGTTTCCACCATACGGTTCGTGAGGTATGTGTGGCGGCTGGGTTCCTTCGAGCTTGGCGAGAAAGAAAGACGCTTGTTTCTTCGCCTGCCGCTTGCAACGCCAATTTGTTTGTCGCGATAGTATCCTTCCCCTCCGCGCGCTGGAGAGCGGTGCTCAGTTTGAGAACGTTATTGACGCACTGGGCGTGTTTGAATCCGCTGTCCTGCAACGGTCCTGCTGCACGTCGTGCTGATCCGAAAGTTTCGCCACCACTCGGGTCATCGCCTGGTGCCACCGCGGTCTCGAAGACCAAGATCCAATGCTGTAGCGGCTGCTTCAGCTGGGGGTCCGAGGTGGTGGTGATGAGATGCTTGAGCGTGGTGGCTTCATCCGCCGGCGCCCCTGCACTCTTGTCTGAGTTCTGGGTCGGGCCCTGGTCGGAGTTATGCATGGACTTTGTCGAGTGTTGTCGCACTTGTTGCAGTTCTGTGCTGTGCTGGGGCTGGGGCATGGAGAAGAAACCGATGCTATGCTGTGCTGGGGCTGGGGCTGTCATGGAATACCAAACTGTGCTGTGCTGGGGCATGGAGAAGAAACCGATGATAATATGAATATCTCGTGTTGGTAACCGCAAGGGGCTTCCCAACACGGGGCTAGTACGGTTTGCCTCAAGCGCTACCGTGCAGACACGAGAGGCGATCCAAAACAAATGTCTGAGCCCCAAGTGTTTTGAGGAGGATATGGACGGAGGGAGGGCGAGGGACACAGGGAGGAATCTGGACGGAGGAAGGAGAGAGGAAGGAGGAGGGAGGAGAGAGGAGGCAGCAGGAGGGAAAATGGGCAACATTGTGCTACAAAGCGTTGCACAAACCCTTCGAGCATCCTGGCTTTCTCCTGAAACCTGTCGGGCGCCCACACACGAACCACAAAAGCACGAGTCCAGCGGTCGGACCCCCCCTTCCGAACAAAAACATGACGTACAAGCGTTCCTTGATGTGTGTTAGTCCCGCTGGCGCCTCGCCCAAAACTTCGGAAACTTCATGCACAACGCAAAACAATAGTTCTGTTGTAACAGTGCCACCATTGGGAAACAGTCCCCCGGCCTCGCGCAATCAAACATCACTCATGATGAAATACCACCCCCGGAGAGGGGGGTGGGAAATCCAGGGGCCGGAGGCTCGAACAACAACAAACTGTAGGTCTTGGAAGAGGGCCTCGCCGAGGAAAGGCTGGCAGCATCTTGGTGCGTGTTCGCTCAGAGTGGTGGCAGATGTCAGTTTGGTTGCCAGTGCAACAAAAATACACTGAAGTGCTCAAGTCCATCACGTGCACCCCTGAGCCGAGCTCGAAGCAAAACGAAAGGACTTGCCTAGAGGTACCGCGTGCGGCAGCGAAGATTGCACCGACATGGTGCGCGGAGAGCGAAACTTCACTCGCATGTGCCCTGCACATATGCCCATCGCATCCTCCCCGCGCCGCCAAACGCGGCCAAAGATGGGAAAACCAAAAGGTACCGATACAGCTACTCCCTGGTCCTGGGGTGCGTTCTGACCAGACTGTCCCGGCGAATCCAGCGGTGGCGACGTGGGCCTCCCAGGAAGCCCAAAGAGAAAACAACGAGGCAAGGGTTGCGGTATGGGTACCTTTTATCGGGGGCGCGCAAACATGGACTAGCGATCCGTGGATGTGGCGCGCGGTCGCCAAATCCATGGATCGGGGAAGGTGCCCTCCCCAACATGCGGCAGGTGGCGCCTCGTTCGGCGGCGGAAATCCGCGATTTCCCATGGAAGCGGGACCCGTCGACAACCCACGCCCCCTTGAGCCATGTTTGCGATCGCCTGATTTCCCTTCTCTGGAAGGAGACGAGCAAATGCCCAGCTCGGGCGCAGGCAAGCCGAAAACTGCGCGGGCGCGCAAGCGCAACGCTGCTCAAACGCATCCCGCTGCAGGTGCATCTGGGCAGAAGCGGCGCGCGCGGCCCGAGCGGCAGAGGCCGGAGGACGGGGACGCCGACGACGGGGCGGGGAGTCCTTGTGGCGACGGCGAAAACGACGACGACGAAGACGAGGAAGACAGGGACGACGAGGACGACGACGACGACGAGTACGACGACGACGAGGACAAGAACGACCAGGACGACGAGGACGACGACGACGACGACGACGACGACGACGACGACAACGAGTATGACGATGACGACGACAAGGACGACGACGACGACGACGTGTAGAAGTCCTTTGGGCTTTTTCGGGCGGCTTGGGTTCCCCATAGAGGCCTCTGGCATCCTCCTGGGGGCTCTCCTGGGGCTCACGGAACGGCGGGGCGACCCCGGGGGAGGCCGGAAAAGCGATTAGCGTAAAACGTGCGTTTTTGGTAAGTTGGCGATGCAACCCCCCCACCCACCCACACACACACACACACACTCCTGGAAACACATCTGGATTTACGATGTGCAGTGGCCGAAAAGTGTGCTGCCCCGAGCTGCTGCAGACGACTGATTGGCCGTCAGTACTCGTGTTTGCTGAGAAGGAGTTTTCCATAACGCACTGGGGGCGACCAGTGGGATCGGCGAAGGCGGAGGCAGGGGGAGAGGGCAGAGGAAGTGGAGGAGAAGACTCTGACAGCAACCTGCATGTTTGATCATGCAGGCAACTGCTTGCCAGGACCATCCACGAACGTTTTGGGAGACAACTCTCTCATAACAACTCCAAGGAAGACGCACGTCAATCCGACAGTCCCTGTACAATGGCTGAGTGGGCCATCGCTCAGATCCACTATCGCTGCAGTAATGAGCTGTGCCGCAAGACTGAGCGTGAATGTTGCAGCATACGATATTTGTTTGGGCAAGATTTGGAAGCTCCGCGTGTAGAAAAGGCCCTGACACCCAGCGAAAATCCAAAGGTGAATGTCCTCAACGCGAATGTAGAATCCTGTTGCATAAAACCACGAAGCCAGCACAGCGGGAAATACGAAAATTCCACTTGCCACGAATGACACGAAGACAACATTGTTGGCATCATCTCCGTCCCTAGGCATACAAAATCGCGCGCTCAAGACGAAACCCATGCCGCTTGCCATTGCTGCAATCGCTCCCAGCGTGGCTGTGCCTAGGTTTGCAGATGTCGAAGCAGGTTTACCCGACGAGCCAACAAGGAAAACCCCGGCAAGTACCATGAGCGTGGCAGGTCCAGCAAATCTGCTTGGAGGCTTCCCTTCCAAGAAGAAGTCGACGGCAAGGGCACTGAACAGCACGGCGAATTGAAGCATCAGCTGCACTAGACATTGGCCAAGCACCCGAGATGCAACAAAGAGCGTGGCTGCGGGCAAGCAGCACGCGGCTGCCACCCATGGCCCAGAATGCCGAGGCACTCCTTTGAGAGAGATGAAGGGCAAGAGGCATGCTGCCGAGAGGAACTCGCACAAGCAATTGACGCAATACGCACTGATGAACGGATCACTCCCCACGGCGCTCAGACGCGTGCTGAACTGCATACGCGCCGTCACCGACGCCCCCACCGCCAAAGCCCACAAGATGCAGACTGAGTACCAAGCGCTGGCGAGGGCCTTCGGACGCTCGACGCTATGGCAGGACATCTTCTCTTGAACCTTCGCTCCCTCAGCCCACCTGCTCGTGGGCTCGGCCGCGTCGTCCCTTGCTTCTTTCAACGGCGTTCGCTCGTTCGGCATCCTGCGGCGCAGGATCAGCCAGATCTCTCTGATCTGCCAAGGGACCGACAGCTGGTGCTCCAAAAACTTGAAATCAAAATGACTGTAGGCTATAGTCACAATGTGTGTGCATGGTGTTAGGCCCTCGCCTGAGCCAGAACGGCTACTCAGAAAGAAGAGGGGAACGATGATGTGGGGCCAATAATTCGAAGGCAACTCCGACTCAGGGCTACAGAGCCAAATTCAGCCCTGGGCTAAGCGCAGGGTTAAGCCAGATTGAGTGAGATAAGGACAGATTGAGCGAGATCAGGCCCGATCAAGCGGGATTCAGCGAGGTTGGGCCACTTGACGACCAGAGATCTTTACCAGCACCACTTCTGAACCTGGCATCCGAGCAGTCGAGAGTGTATATAAAAGAGGATACCGAAACGTGGCCGGGAGTTTGGACGCCCGAAATGGGGACGATGTCCAACAACAAATTTTGTCCCAAACCAACGGCGGCCGCTGTTGGGCAGGCGGCCTCCTGTCTCGAATGGACACAGGCCGCGGCGGCGCGGACAGCGAGTCCTGTTCAAAATGAACAGGAACTGCTGTTGAGCATTGTACCCATTCTTTCCGTACCCATTTCGGGCGTCCAGAGGGAGGCACGGAGCTCTCCCCAGCCTGCGGCCCCGGAAGGGCGCGGCGCTCCACCTGCCTCGGGAAGGGCGCCTGCCCACGCAGGGCAGGTGCAAGGGGGCCCTGCTGGACTCGGGCACCCGTCGGCATGGCAACTGCGCCCCCTCCTCCTCCTCCTCCTCCTCCTCCTCATCCTCCTCCTCCTCCTCCCCCTTTTCCTCCTCCTCCTCCTCCCCCTTTTCCTCCTCCTCCTCCTCCTTCTCCTCCTCCTCCTCCCTCCCCCTTTTCCTCCTCCTCCTCCTCCCCCTCCTCCTCCTCCTCCTCCTCCTCCTCCTCCTCCTCCTCCTCCTCCTCCCTCCCCCTTTTCCTCCTCCTCCTCCCCCTTTTTCTCCTCCTCCTCCTCCTCCTTCTCCTCCCTCCCTGATGGGGGAAGCGGGTCCTGAGGGCAACGGGGCCTGGACCCTGGGGTCTCCCCCGGACGAGGTCTTTCCATGCTGAGCCGCAGGGCCCGTGGAGGGCCCCGCGAGAGCCCGAGAGTGGAGAACAAAATCCGGGACCCGTTTCCCTCGGGCCCCCCCCCCCTCCTCCTCCTCCTCCTCCTCCTCCTCCTCCTCCTCCTCCTCCTCCTCCTCCTCCTCTCTCCTTTTCCTTTTCCTTTTCCTCCGTAGCCATTTTGGCTCAAGGTTTTGATTCCCCCGGGGTCAGAGTGGAGACCTCTGATCCGAGGACAGCTCTCAGCAGTTGCGGCCTGTTCGCCCAGGTCAGGACCGCCCGACACCCAGGTCGGGCCGCTTTCGTGAGCACGGCGCCACCATGCCGAGGCGCCAGACGTACACGGTCTGCAGCGGCTGCAGCAACTGGGTGTATGATTGGAAGCTGCAGCGCACGGGAGGCTGGTGCAACAAGTGCAACGACTACCTCAGCGGATGGAGTGAGCAGCCGCCGTCTGCGGGCCGCAGCCAACGAGGGGATGGCAAACCCCCGTGGGCAAAGCAGCCAGTCACTTCGCCCGCGGACGAGCTGCAGCACATCATCAACAAGTTCCAGCTGGGGAAGGGCGCCTACGCCACAGCCAAGGCCATGGTCGACCTTGGCCCGCTGCAGGCGCTCCAGGCCCAGCTCACAGCCAAGGCGCCGACGCCCGCGGAGATCCCGAAGGCAAAGGCGCTCAGGCAGGCGATCAACAACTTGGACCAGAAGAAGGCGGCGCTGGCGAAGGCGACGAGCCAACTCGCGGAGGCGGAGCGCTGTCTCGGCATCGCCACGGAGAGGCACAACAAGGCGCTGGAGGAGGCAGCTGACGCGGAGGAGGAGCACGAGGCAGTCCTGCGGGCGTACTCCAGCGAGGCCATCCCCTCTCAGGACGAGGCTTCGGCTACGGAGTGGAAGGCGCCCGAGGTGGACCCCGCGCTCTTCGACAACCTGGACGACTTCGAGCCTGAGGATAAGAAGAAGCTACTCAAGTTCAAGTCGGACCTGTCGTCCCTCGCGAAGCTGCTGGAGAGCGCCCAGAAGCAGTACACGGAGTTCACGGAGCTTAAGAAGCAGGCGGACGCCATCCACGCTTCCCACAAGGCGAAGAAGCGGAAGGCGAACACAGGCGAAGAGGCACCAGCAGCGGCACCTACACCAGCAACCGACGACGACTCCAAGGCTGCTGGCTCTGAGGCGGACAAGCAGCCGTCAGAGGAGGAGGTGCAGCAGCGCAAGGACAGGTTGGAGAGGCTCCGTAACGACGCGAAGGTCAAGACGAATCCGAAGCAGGAGCCTGCTCAAGCTGAAGGCGCTGCTGCTGCTGGTGGCCATCGCCTTTAGCAAGGTGTTCTTCTCGAACATCACGCAGTGGGGCCCCAAGGCCCACAAGTTCATCAACGAGCAGGGCAACGACATGGACATAATCATGATGTGCGAGACGCACTTGGCGCAGGACCAGATGAAGCAGGTGAAGGTGGACGTGGCGAAGGACGGCTGGAAGTCGGCGGGCACAGCGGCGGTGCCCACGAAGCGCTCGGCGAACGGGACCTCGGGTGGTGAGCTCATCCTGGTCAAGTCTCACATCGCCTGCTCCACCTACGACACCATCAGAGAGAGGCTGCAGAATGTCGGGAAGAAGGACCCCTTCTACGGCTTCACGGCGGTGAATCTCCACACCAAGGCGGGCAACGTGGTCTTGGTCACAGCATATTGGTTACCAGGAGCTGGTCTGCACGGTCCCAACCGAGAGAGGGTCAGAGCGCTGGCAGGATTCGTGAAGGCGTTGGCGGACCCGTGGGTGGTCTTGGCGGACTGGAACGTCACCTTCGCGGACATTGCCAAGACGGGCTACGTGCAGCAGATCGGCGGAGCGCTGGTCAAGCCAGATGTGGAGGTCACATGCGACAAGGGGAAGGGCAGCCTCATCGACTACGGCATCGCAAGGAAGGACTTCGCGCACAAGGTCAAGCTGGAGGCAGTCCGCACGGTGCCGTGGCGAACACACTGTGGACTGACGCTCACGCTGGAAGGCTCGGCGACGGCCTGGTGGCACCGCAAGATGCAGTTACCGAAGGAGCTGGCGACACCGCCGCGACCGAAGAAGACGGCGGATCCGAACAGCAAAAGGACCCGCAAACGACAGGAAGAACGGCAACGAGCAGAGGAGCGATTGGAGCCACACCTTCGGGAAGCCTTCCAGGAGCAGGCCATGATCGAAGAAGCGGAGTCAGAGGAGAAGGTTAAGGACTTCTACATCACAGATGGCACTTGGACGGTGGCGGTGGCGACGGCGAGCTTATCAGGTTCGAACTCGACACCCTCGGCGTCCCAGATGATTCTTTTCGGGGGCAGCCAGGGCCGCACCCCACCTCCAGCCTCCAGCGCGTGGCCGCTCCTCGCGAGCGTTGAGCCGCCTGAGGCTGTCGGCCCTCCAAGCATGGAGGATAATGGGGTGCTGGCGTTCCCTGCTGCTTGGCCCGCCGCATCTCAGAGGACCTCATGCTGGCACCTCTCTAAGGAGCTCCAGTCATGGGACGACAAGCTCATCATCCGAGACGTCAGGCACCGCGAGGCAGAGGCAGCTGCGACGAGGATGTACGGCGACTGGGTCACCTGTCTGGAGGAGGCGGCGATCCTCACGGATGAGATCGACGAGGAGGAGGCCGAGCACTACAGAGGACGGGCTTCGGGCTTCGAGGTCAAGTGGGTCAAGGCGCGTTCGACACCAGGTCGCACCCACATGAAGTTCGGCCCAGCGGAGCAGTGGGGCATCCTCAACGCCATCCTCATCAGGTACCAGGCGCTGTACACCAACGGCACCGACGGCAGGCAGCAGGCAAAGTGCTTGGTGGAGGCAAAGGCGCAGGGCAAGGTCCTCCAGCAGATGGATCAGAGTCAGGTCTTTGGCAGGAAGCACGGCACTGCACAGCAGCAGATGTTCTACGATATACTGGACGACCTGGCGGACTTGGATGTGGGGCAGCTCGGCAACTTAGTCATGCAGGCAGAGGGCCACCTCGCCACTGCGCAGGCGCGTGGCTTCACGGCGCAGCAGAAGAACTTCACGGCGTGGGCAAAGAAGGCATGGGCAGGCAAGGTCGGCCTCCTCCATCGGCACGTGAAGGAGCAGCAGGCGCCGAGGTTCGAGCTGTGCACGGAGGAGATGGAGGGCATCGCGGACCCAGACGCCCTCATCAGCATCAGGAAGCACGAGTGGGAGCGCATATGGACGGACCCAGTGGACACGAAGGAGGACATCGCGTACCAGCTGGGCAGGCTACGCGATCAGTCCTGGGAGCACGTGCTGGAGCCCCTCACGCTGGAGCAGCTCGACGGGGCCATCGGTGCGTCGTCGTCGGCCAAAGCAAAAGGAGCTGATCATCTTGGCCCGCACGATCTGGCTCGGGCTCCCAGAAATGCAAGAATATGGTTCTTCACATCTTACAGTATTGCGAGCAGGAGGTCACATGGCCGAGGCAATGGGCAGCCACCAAGTGCGCACTGGCGGCCAAGCCCAAAGGAGGAGATCGGGTACTCGGTATGCTGGCCCTCCCCATCAAGCTCTGGTCCAGGGCTCGGGGAGGGTGCTGCACAGAATGGAGTGACGCGTTATCGGCCCATTGGGACACAGCCCTCAAAGGTAGCTCAGCCCTCCGTGCGGGGCTCATCAGGGCGTGCCTGGACGAGGTGGGGGCAGAGCTCGGAGCATCGGCGATGACGCTTCTGTTGGACATTGAGAAGTTCTACGACACAGTCTCGCTCGTCATCCTGTCCCAGATCGCCCTCAGAGTGGGATTCCCCGCAGTGGTGGTGGCGTTAGAGATCACCGCGTTCGTGGGCCCGAGGTACCTGCAGGAGCGCAACATTCTCAGCGAAGCGATCTGGTCCACGAGGTCTCTGGTAGCAGGCTCTGCCAGAGGCGTGGGGTT